GTCTGGACCCCTTATTCAATTTTTCTGAAGAAGGGTCCAGACCTGAAACATCAGCTTTCCTGCTCCTCTGATGCTGCCTGGCCTGCTGTGTTCATCCAGCTCTACACCTTGTTATCTCAGATTCTCCAGCATCGGCAGGTCCTACTATCTCTGAATGTTGTAGATTCAATTGGAAGAATTCTCCAGCATCTGCAGTTCCTACTATCTCTGATTCGATTTTAACCCCACTGCGAAGCCTCTTCTAAGGATGCCTAACCTGAAGAAGTTACCCTCCTCCCTCCGGACAAACCTCAAGGGATCTCTCTCCCACTGCAACTATCCGCCTCCCACTCTCTCCCTATTTATTTCAAAACCCCCTTCCCCTCCCCCTTTTCTGATGAAGGGTCTAGGCCCGAAACGTCAGCCTCTCTGCTCCTATGATGCTGCTTGGCCTGCTGTGTTCATCCAGCCCTGCACCTTGTTGTCTCGGATTCTCCAGCATCTGCAGTTCCTACTATCTCTGATTCGCTAAATTAGGTAGCAGACTGCAGAAAAACATATAGGCAATGGGACAAGTTGCAATGAGTATTGCAGTGGATTGTACAGAAACCTTTAGGAACTTGAGGAACAGTGGACTTTCAGGTAGAGATAAAATGTGTGACAATATTTGGAAATATGAAAATGAATAAAGCTACGTTGTGTATTTGATCACGTTCAGCCAGACTGTAGACTACACTTTAAAAGATCAATACACATCAAACAGACAGGCTTGCTCTAGGGCAAGTCTATTCTAATGCAACAAGTCAATTAACCAAACTGTGCAGTGTGGGGAGCAAGGTTTCAAATAATCGCTGCTAGTTAAATTGTATAGATCACTGCAAAACAAAGAATTGTTATTGATGGTTGCAACTGCACAGAGTCTGATTGAAGTGTACTTATGCAAATTCTATGTCTATTAACTAGCTTAATGCTTAAAGACATACCATTGCATGGTACATTTAACAAGGAACAGAATATGTGATTTAAATGTGCTCAGAAAATTATAGCTTCACCATAAAGGCAGCTGCATTTAGGTTTTAGGCTTAAATAACTCGTGTCTTTTTCAGTATGAAGATCTGAGTTGTAATTTGATGCAGAATGATGGTGAATGATGGTGCAGTCTTTTGAAAACATAACTGAGTACTGAGAGTAGGTGGTATAGATTAGGATTTTCAAATTTGCTCCAATTGCTGATGGGTTATGTGCTATTCACATTCATTATTGATTTTATTTAATTTTTAAGTTTAATTATTTGTTATTAATTTCTAATTAAGTCACGAGGACATTAAATAGTCATCTATGGATTATAGCTGGCAGAAATAATGAAAACCTGATTTTTTTTTTATCTTGAAAAGAATGATTGATTCTAAAGCAGTCTTACAAGAATGGATCCTCCCTGTGATTGAATACCAAAGCATTAGAAAAAGTGGGAAACTTAATGTGATAGAAGGCATCCTGGAGGTTGATAAAGAACTGTAAAGCTTTCGTTTTGTTTAGTTGAATTTCCTGATACTGATTTCAAAATAGATTACCTAAACGTTTTTCCTTCAGCATCATAGGGGTCCAGTCCGGGATTCCAAAGAGGGTTTGGGTCCTCGAGCCCAGAGCCATGAAATTAACTAGGACTGGACTTCGTCTTAAATTCTCTTTTTCAAAAATATCTTCTTTTAATATACTATTGTGGAAGGACTGTTGATTTGAACTTTTTATTTCTTTATTTTTCTAATTTATTACTGAGAGTTTGCAATTTTGAAGGTCTGTTATGCTGGACTTTTTATTTCTCTCTTCTATTTTTTCCCCCCCTAAGAATTCATACTCCAGAATCTGTACGCAAATACCTTTGTACCTAAGATGGCGCCATAAGTGGCAACTTGTCAACTTTTCACTGCAGTCATGTGATTACATGTGACAATAAAGCTAATTCTAATTGTACTCCACCTTTTCAGAAACTTTCTGAAATGATATTGAATATATTTCTGGTGGTTTAAAGTGTTGTACAACATGGGCATAGCTGTTAGTAGAAAAAAACGAGACATTGATTTTTAACCCCTTGTTTGCTGACAGGGTCCGTTTAGTGGAAAGAGGATCTCCACACAGTCTACCACTAATGGAGTCTGGCAAAGTGAGTAGCACAATCTGCAATGTCACACTTAAGATCAAAATTCAAATATTTAATGTCTACATTCAGTTTTGTGCTTCTTATTATAACAATGTGTATTAAATTCTATTCTCACTAAGTTGAAGGATGTGTCCACAGGAGGAATAACACATTTGACAACTTTCAGCTTTCATTGGTTTTTAAATCTTCTGGCATCAAATACGGTGGAGACAAGTTGGAAAATGAAGACCCTACAATCTCTCCCTGAGTGAGACAAACACTCATTGGTGTGTTACTTATACATTTAGAAAACTGACCCTCTTTATGCTCAGGATCACCAATTTGGATTATTTTCTGCACGTTAGATATTTTCTAATCAAACCTGGCCAGAGATGTTATTACATACCTCTGGAACAGGTGGGATTTGGACCCTGGCCTTCTGGCTCACAGGTAGGGACACTATTACTGCACCATGCAGTTTGAAGTTTTTATTTAATGATTTTTCTAATCAACTGTTCAGAGGTATTATTACACACCTCTGGAGCAGGTGGGACTTGAACCCAGACCTCCTGGCCCCGAGGTAGGGACACTGCCACTACATCACACTTTTTGTTTTTTTAAGAAATGATGAAGGGAATAACAGTGCATTCACTCAGCAGTCACTGAAACAGTTTTGTTTCATCAACCTGTTCAGGGATATTACGACACACCTCTGGAACAGGTAGGACTTGAACCTGGGTCTCCTGGCTCAGGGGTAGGAACATTATCACTGCATCACAAGAGGGCCCCTTCTCCTGACCTGTCCGTTTTTTTTCTCCCACCTATCTGCTCCTCCCACCTCACTGACCAACCCCACCCCCACTTCCTACCCACTAGCCTCATCCCCGTCTCCTTAACCTGTCCGTCTTCCCTCCCACCTACCCGCCCCTCCCTCCTCACTGACCAGCTCCAATCCCAACTCCCTACCTACACTTACCTTTACTGGCTCCATCCCCGCCTCCTTGACCTGTCCGTCTTCTCTCCACCTATCTGCTCCTCTATCCACCTTCCATCATCACCTCCCCCTCTCTCTATTTATTTCAGAGACCCTTCCCCTCCCCCATTTCTGAAGAAGGGTCCAGACCCAAGACGTCAGCTTTCCTGCTCCTCTGATGCTGCCTGGCCTGCCGTGTTCCTCCAGCTCCACATCTGCTTATCTCGGACTCCAGCATCAGCAGTTCCTACTATCTCTCAGGGCCCCTTGTCTGTTGTTTATTCTTAACCATGACAGACTGAATTGAAATTACGACAAATTGATATCATGTGAAACTCATGCTGTTGGCAGAGCGATCTTCAGTCCATCAGTCTTGGCTGGGTTGAGCTGGGGCTGAAAGAACCGTGTTTTTGTCAGTTTCTCTAAGCAGTTTTCCAATGACCTCAATGTTGAACACAAACAACTTGTTTTTATTATTTATTGGCTTTGAATATGAGAGCCATATTTTCACCCACTTGTGTGGTGTTGTAGTGTACTCTGTAGGAGAAAAGCCCAGTTTTCTCAATTTCTCATCATTAATCAATCCTCTCCTTTTTGAGGACCAAGTCAGGATCTAGTCAGTGTTCACTCTACTGCTTCCAAAGAAATTTTAACTTTCCTTAAATATAGAGACAAAAATTGAGCATTGTATTTCAAGCATTGTCTTGCTGAAGCTCTGGAGAGCTGTAGCAAGACTTCTTTATTCCTGTAATCCTTATTGCTTGCTGCACCTGTATGCAAGCTTATTGTGTTCCTTTTACAAGTACACTCAAGTCTGTCTGACCATCAACATGTACAAGTTTCATGATTTTTAAACTGAAACTTGTACTTTTCTATTCTTACTACGGAAGTGAATAACCAAACATCCCTACATTATGCTCTATCTGCCACCTTTTCATTTAACCTGGTCTCTTTGCAACCTCTCTGTGCCCCCCTCACAGATTGCATTCCCATCTAACTTTGTGCCATCAGTGAACTTGGGTATGTTATTCTTTAGTTCTTCTTCTGAATCATTCATATCGACTGCAAATAGTTAGGGCCCCAGCACTGACTGTTGTGACACTACACAGCTTGTCAACTTGAAAATGCCCCATTTATCCCTGCTGTCTGTTTATTGTCCATCAAACAAGCCTCTAGCCATGTTAATGTATCCATGAGCACTTATTTTATGCATATTTTATGTTACCTTAACAAATGCTTTTTGAAAACAAATGTATATCACATCTTCTAGCGTCTCATTACTGATTCTATCAGTTTTTTATTATTCATTCACGGGATGAGGGCATCACTGGCTAGGCCAGCATTAATTGCCCATCCCTAATTGCTCAGAGGGCAGTTAAGTGTCAATTATATTGCTGTGGATCTGGAGTCATTTGTAGGCCAGGCCAGGTAAGGATGGCAGAACATTAGTGAACCTAGATGGGTTTGTCTAAAAATCGACAATGGATTCATGGTCATCATTAGACTCTAAATTCCAGATTTTTTTTATTGAATTCAAACTCCACCATCTGCCATCTGGGTCTCTGGATTAACAGTCCAGTGACAATGCCACTAGGCAATTGCCTTCCCCCTAATATCCTCAAAAAGTGCCAATAAGTTGGTCAGACAGCATTTCCCTTTTATAACGCGATGTGGCTTTGTTGTAATCATGCTATGTTCTTCTAAGTGCATTGTTTAAAGTTCCTTAGTAATAAATGCAACACTTCCCCGATAACAGGCTAACGGACCTATAGTTCCCTATTTGCTCTTTCCGTCATATCAGCATTAGAGTTGCTGACTTCCAAACTGCTTGAACTATTCCAGAATGAAAGAAATTTTAGGAGATCATACTCAGTACATCCACTACCTCTACAGCTGTCTTCATTTAGAATTTTAGATGTCAGGTCAGATTCGTTAGACTTCAGTCTATCGGGCTTTTAATTGTTTTTTTTTGCTGTTATTAATTGCTTTCTAATTTGGGAGCCAGGGTATAATATTAGAAAGTAATCCTAGAGTGCACGAAATGGTGGGAGAAGGAGACAGCACTCAAATAGAAATTACCAAGCTAATAGTTGGAGTCGGAGTGTAGGAGAAAGTTAGAAAGCCTAAATCAGGGTTATATTGCATGTATGTGAATGCACAGAGTACAGTTAATAAGACTGAAAAATTACAAGCACAAGCTGCTTGTGGGGTCGTGACAATAATAGACACCTGGCTGTAGGAAGGATAGGTCGAGATGTTAAATGTTCCTGGTTACAATGTCTTCAGAAAAAAATTGCAAAGTAAAAAAAGGTGTGATATTTTTGGCTAAAGAGTGCAGGAGAAAGTCAGCACCTCAGAGGGTTCGAACACAGAATCGATTAAGCTAGAGCCAAGAAATAAGAAGTGTCCAATTATATTGCTCAATACAAAATGTAGACCACCAGCCAGAAGAAAGGATATAGAGGAACAAATCTTGGAGACAGTTACAAAGAGGTGGAAGCATCAGAGAGTGTTTAAAATTAGTGGTTGCCAGAATAGTGATAAAGTGGCAGTGAGGGACAAGCATTTCTAGATTGTGTTGAGGAGAATTCCTACAAAAGTATGTGCCTAGTCCCTGCTTCTTGGGAATGAGGTGGTCAAGTAGATCAAATGACAGCAGGCAAACATAAAAAGGGAACAGTCATCATTCGGTTTAGAATGCCGGTAGGAAACCACATTGGTCAATCCTGAAAATAAGATTAATCAACTGGAACAGAGTGGTCTTCAGAGGGAGATGACGGCAAATGGTAATGTCACTGGACCTGTGAGTGCAATATTCTGGGAACTCTGGTTTGAAGCCCACGGCAGCAGATGGTGAGTGAAGAAAAACTACTGTCCTTTAACTGGTCTGGCTTACTTTTGAGTCCAGATTTGAAGTAACATTGCTTACTCTTAACTGCCTTCTGAAATACCCAATTGAGCCATTCAGCTAAAATGTCTCATAAAAATTGAATGAAACTGTCTGGACCACCACATCAACCTAAGCACCAGAAATGACAACTGTAAACCCGGCCCTGTCAATCCTACAAAATCCCCCTAACATGGAATCAATGGGAATTGGGAGGAAAATTCTCCAGTGGTAGGAGACATAGCTAGCACAGAGGAAAATGATTGTGGTTGTTGGAGGCTAATGATCTCAGCTCCAGGACATCTCTGTAGGAGTTCCTTAATGTCTTAGACCCAACCATTTTCAGCTGCTTCGCCAATGAACATCCCTTCGTCATGACATCAGAAATGGCTGATGATTGCAGAATGTTCAGCACCATTCACAATCCTCATCGCAGTCCTAAGTGGTCAGCCCTTATGCTGTGGGGCAGCATTGTGGCTCAGTGTTTCACACTGCTGACTCACAGCGCTAGCAACCTGGGTTCAATTCCACTGTCTGCGTGTGTTTCCTCCGGGTGCTCCGGTTTCCTCCCACAGTCCAAAGATGTGTAGGTTAGATAAATTGTACATGCTAAATTTCCCATAGTGCTTAGGGATGTGTAGATTAGGTCGGTTACAGGGGAATGGGTCTGGGTGGGATTCTCCTGAGTTTCGGTGTGGACTTGTTGGGCCGAAGGGCCTGTTTCAACACTGTAGGGATTCTATGATGAAACTGAAGTGGTCCAAATAGAACTGGACCCAGGTAATATCCAGGCTTGGGCTGATAAGAGGCAGTAGCATTTGCACCACACAAGTAGCAGAAAATGACCATTTCCCACAAAACAGAATTTGACCATTACTCTTTCACGTTCAGTGATATTACCATCACTGAATCCCTCACTATCAACATCCAGGGATTATTATTGTCCAGAAACTTAATTTGACTAGCCACATAAATACAGTGGTTACAAGAATAGGTCAGAAGCAAGGAACACTGCAGCAGGTATCTCACCACCTGAGTCCCCAAATCCTGTCCACCATCTACCAGTCAAGAGTGTGATGGAATACTCCCGACTTGGCTGAATGAGTGCAGTTGCAACAACATTCAAGAAACTTGATACCATCCAGGACAAAGTAGCCCAATTGA